GTGGATAAATCTGAAAACGCCACCCTTGCGTTTTCGTGTGGACAGCGAATCCGTATATTTTCTGAAACGATGCCGTCATCAGCCCACGTCTCACCCCTAGTCAGACACAAAAACATGAACAAACACTGAACGATTGTCTTTTTATTAACTAACATTAACACAGATTAATACATGTATTGTTCCATGTTCGTTTGTATACCTCGTGCAAGGTTTATGCGCATAGTCCAAGTCTTCTTCTCCGGTTTTAGTGTATCTTTGTGGCAGAATTACAGCGCCACATGCTGGTCTGGCATGTATACTACATCGTTTTGTGACGGTTTTGCGGTTTCGTGTGGACGCAGATATTTCTTGAGACAAGGTGAAAAAAAAGATCGGATAGGGAAAGCTCTGGCTTTGTGTGGACGTAGCCTCTGGGACCTGGTTTAAAAAAATATCGGTTTCACTCTCCCAAAACGCCGAATCCGTCTGGACGAAATGCCTATACGATACAAAATTTGATTTTTGATACAAAAATTACTTTTTTTCTCAGAATTGCAAGATCTAAACTCAGAATTCTGACTTTTTTCTCAATTCCGAGTTTACTTCTCTAAATTCCAAGTTTGCATCTCACAATTCTGAGTTTATATCTCGCAATTCTGGCTTTATTTGTTTGTTCGTTCAGCAATGGACCAAAAACGTGACTTTTTTTTCACACAAATCTGACTTTTTTTCTCGCAATTGCTAATTTAGTATCTTATATTTCTAAAATGTATTTTCAGAATTGCAAGAAGAAAAGTCAGAATAGTGAGATAAACAGTCGCAATTACCTTTCAAATTTTTTTTTTTATTCTGTGGCAGAAATGAGCTTCCATTCGAGCCAGTTCTCAAATCCACAGAAAAAAAGAATGCACATGCAGGTCCCTAAGTCATTGTCAGCCAAACCAGATGCAAGCAGAACTGTGAAAACTGGCTGAACGCTTGAGTGGAGTGGTTTGTCCCAGAGACAGTGGAGCACAGAAGCAGTCATTAGTCTTTCAGCGAGTGTGTAGATGTTACCGACCGGCAAGCCAAACGTCTGTGTCAGCACTATCTGCCTCTCCCTGTGGACAGAAACTTTGATTGGACAGACTGAACGCACAAGATGGCACTGGAAAAACATGAGTATACCCTCATATTGTAACAGAGAGAATTAGTTCCAGGTTTTATTCAGTGTTGTCTTTATGATTTATCATCCACTGGAATTGGATCTCAAATATTCCATATTTGAAAATATAGTTAGAGAATTGGAAACCTCAATCCCTGTCATGCAAGATGTGTATGAAATACAGCCTCTCATAAACTGGGGGAGAAATGAACCGATCAATCTTATTTATGGGATCTCGTTCCTCAGACAGAGTGATGATAATTCTCTCCGACTGATCAATCCCATAGCTGCAGCGCAAGCTGATCTCATGGATTTTCTGGGCTGTGGTAAAAGGGCCCTGTATTTAAGAACGAATCAGTGTTTAAGAATGAATCATTCAAGTGAATGAATCACTTCAATGTGCTGACTCGTTTACAGAAGTCCCTTGTGAAGCATGCAACTGTAAATAGCATCTCGTGAACTTGTATCATGGTAACCATATCAATGTTTTGGTGTCTGTCTACAATTTTTGATCAAAGTAATATTACAGCAAACAAAGACTCGTTATGTTCGGTGATTTTAACTAAACCATTGTAGACAGAGCCACTGTTTTGCACAGTGTCATGTACAAGGGTTGCCATGTCCACTTATTATAAGCTTATATTATACTTATTATAAAAGTATGCTGGCGCAGGTCATGATATTTTGGCTTATTTCCAAGATAAAGCTCTTGGTTTATTATGGCCTTATTCTTATTTGTGTTTTTTTTATATATTTTTTAGCAAAATCTGGCAACACTAATGAGTCAAAACATAACTTGTTCCCTCTACACAAAAAAAACACATGAACATGAGAGGTTGCATGTTTTTGGCATTTGCATTAGCAAACACGGCTAATAACAGTCAAATCCTTTGTGTCAGAGAAATGGATCTTTATTATGTCACACTGCACTGACATGTTGTTATTCGAAGACACAGTCTTGTATAATAAGACCATGTTTAACGCAAAGTATATATTTTGTTGTACAAGCCTGCCGTTATAGTCATGTAGTATCAGGGAGACAAATGACATCTATCTTCACTCCTCTTCTCACAGCTGCATCTCTGTCAGTTTGATAGCTACTCTTTTCGTTAGCCCTGTCCAATTTTTCCAGTTTCCATTGACTCTCTCTTTTTCTGTTTCTGACTCACTTTTACTGTTTCCCTCCAGTCTAAACAAACGTGTAAAAAATGTGTCTTTCCCCCTTGTATCCTTTGATACGATCATGCTAGCATATAATACAGTCATCGTCTGCTAATGTCCTACATTATTCCAACTCAACATATTTCTTTTCACATCTAATCTCCATCTCAAGTTGATGTCAGCTGTATTTACTTGTGTTGGCCATCATCCTTGGGTGGCAGCGGTGTGAATTACAGCGCTTCGTGACAGACGAAATACACGCCGTGTTTCGCAATTACACTATTTTTATTTGTTATGCTAATTGAGCCATTTAAATGCTTAAGTAACTCCAGCAGTGTGTTTGCCAATACAGTGGGGGACGTTGTTAAAGTAAAGCCAATTTTCAAGTTTGCGAACAATCTCTTCTGTATGTGTGTTTTCCCATTCGACCGGAGATCGTGTCACGATTGCGCTAGCATTTTGGCCTCGTTTTTGCTGCTTATTTATAAATATCTTTGAGAGGATCCAGATGGCCGTCAGGGTGGGCTTTGCAAGTTCACCCATTTCATGTTGTCAGTACTGTAACAGTTGTGCTGTACCCACTCCCTTTGTTTCTTAAATAGCTCTGTGACTTCAAGGGTCCTCGGTTTAAGTTAACGTCTTAAATATTTAAGCAGGCTGTTATGTTACAGCTGAGTGAATTGAAGTCAGCAGCATAAGCAGGAAAGTAATTTACCTCGTGATGGATTGTGTCCATATACTGCATTACTCTAATGAAGAGGACTTGTGCATCTGTTGGTGTGTGTGTGTGTGTGTTGCATATACATTGTGGTGTTAAATGAAGTGTAAAAGCTTACTTGAAGCTGGGTGTGGTTAGAGGTTGCATTAATCTCTCTTTCCTAAGAAACCTTGCACAATCCACTCAGAGAAAAATTAATTTTGTGAACTAGATTAATTATCTGAAGAAAATGTGAATGGTGCAAAACTCATCGACACAAGGCTGGGTTTGTTCTTGTGAGTGGTTGATATGATGATTTGGTGGCTGATCAGTGGTTGCTTTGTGGTTACGAAGTTGTTTTGAGGTGTGGTTTTGAACTTATGGGTGATTACTGTAAATCAGATCACTTAGAAAAGTAATATCTAATCTCTCCTCAATTAGACATGTGATTGTGGCATTATTCATGTCTGTATCACTGATTTCGTGTAATGAATGTTTGTTTTTCTTCTTGCACCTCCTCTAATTTGCAGTGTGATTTTATGTTTTTAATGGGATCACATTTGAAGCTGTGTATGTTCAGGAATGTGACAAACAAACTTCAAGACCCAAGAGCTTTTCTATCTTAGCCTGATGTTTGTAATAATTCTTCTTGATTATAGTTCCACACAGTGTTTGACACAAATCAATTTCTTGAGTAAAAGTACAGGTGCCCTAATAAAATATTACTCCAGTAGAAGTATTAAGTACTCTTTTTCAATTTTACTCAAGTAAAAGTACAAAAGTATTTGATTTTTATTGAACTTAAGTATTAAATATAAAAAGTACTGATCGATTAATGTTTATTTTTGTAATTTTAACTTATATACTTTTTATATGAAATCATTTTATATTATATATTTTATATAATCCTACTACTCAAAATACCTGGAGCCGGTGGGGCTTGTCATACATTATCAAAATAATAAATATTTACACATACACACATACACACACACACACACACACACACACAGTATATACAGTATGTATATATATATATATATATATATATATATATAATAAAAATAAAAGCAATTAAATATCAATTTAGGTTGCTGACATTTCATGTGTGCAAACAATTGAAAATGAAATATTTAATATATAGTATTTAAAAAAACTAGGAAAAACAAAATGTGTTGACAACCGAGTATATACAGTATATATATATATATATATATATATATATATATATATATATATATAATAAAAATAAAAGCAATTAAATATCAATTTAGGTTGCTGACATTTCATGTGTGCAAACAATTGAAAATGAAATATTTAATATATAGTATTTAAAAAAACTAGGAAAAACAAAATGTGTTGACAACCGATGTCACATAGGGCAAAATGTATCTAATTTTAAGAAGAACACTATGCAAATATACTAGTTTGAAACTCATTTGAAACTGTTTTGTCAGCAGGGATGATGCATGGCATTAATTTGCGTAATTTTTTATGTTATTTTTCGGTTTTACCTAAAACCTTCCCTGTTGAGGTGATGTACTTAATATGAACATGTCAACATTCAAGCATTTCATAGAGTGGGTTTAAACAGCTCACCCTTTTACAGCAAATTTAGTTCACAAACAACTGACAGTCGTGACCTAAATATGATTTTCATTCACAATAATAAATCCTAAAATTCGGCATTAGTTAATTAATTAGTGAGTTGTTGACTTGAGAAGAGATGAATCGCTCATCTGAAATGCAAATGAATCATTCAGTGCAGTGTGTGAACTGATTTAACAGGTTCATTGAAAAGAATCAGCTCGTTCATGAATCGGACTCCACTATCGCATCTTGGAGCAAGTGGCGATTTCTCCAGTTCAAAATAACGAGGAACGAAACACTCCAAAGAGAAAGGAAAACTTGAAATCGCATCATATGACCCCTTTAAGAAATGTAGTGGAGTAAAAAGTACAGTATTATGCTTTATAATGTACTCAAGAAAAAGTAAAATAATAAGAATACTTCATTACTGTCCACCACTGGTTACTCATGATTGTGTTTATTACACTGATTGTGTTTATTGTTGTGCCTGCAGTTCCAAAGAACGATCAGCGAGTCGTGGATAAAGCCAAAATGCCAGTGAAATCCTCAGGCTTACAGCGCTCCAGTTCGGATGCAGGGAAAGATCGTGGCGAGCACAGAAAACCTCCCTCTGGTCTCATCCGTCCCTCTGCCGGCACGGTTAATTCCTTCGGTTACAAGAAAACCGTTCCAACTACCGGCACCGCCACTGTGCTAACAACTAGTGGAAACACCGTCTCCGAAAACTCTGCGATTGTCAACAAAACTCCTAAAACCTCTGGTATCCCAGTGAAACCCTCTGCCGGCGAGGTGGGTGGAGGACGCAAGACCAGTCTTGATGTGTCGAACTGTGATCAAGGTTTCATGGCTCCGAACGCACGCAACAACATCCAGTATCGTAGTCTCCCGAGACCTGCTAAGTCCAGCACCTTGAGTTTGACGGGAGGACGGCCGGGCGCTCGTCACGTCAGCAGCAATATGGACGCTGGTCTGCAGGGCCTAAAAACAGTGCCCGCCCCGTCCAGACTGAAGGAACCAGGCAGTGTTAAGAGCTCCCATCGGGCCAGTACAGGAGGGTGCGCTCCGGTCAACCAGACGGACCGGGAGAAGGAGAAGGCCAAAGCCAAGGCGGTGGCGTCTGATTCTGAGTGCGGCGGAGGCGGCCTGCTAAAGAACGGCACATTGACACCAACACAGAGCACGCTGGAGCCTCCTTCCAGACTACTTGGGCTTCGGCAGCCATCCAGCGTGGGCAAATATTCAGAGCTGCCCTCTCCCAACTCTCAGAGGTGAGATGAACCTCCTCCACATAGCTGTTTATTAAACCTCACATCTGCTCTGATTGGCTGTGGATTTTCATGTTCACACGGCGTTGTTCTTTCAGAAAGGACAGAAAAATGCACTTCTTCAGTTTCATCTATGCTAAAACACTTTTTCAGTGTTATTAATTTTGGTATATTGTGTGGATTTTTGAAATTCTGTGACATTTTGCACTTTTTGGAGAAAAAGCTGGTTAACTGGACTCGCTAACACAAGAAGTTAGATTGACTGCTAGCTAACTTGCCTTAGCAAGTCCAGTTAACCAGCTTTTTCTCTAAAAATTGCAAAATGTCACAGAATTTCAAAAATTCACACACACACATATACATATATATATATAAAGAAAGAAAGAAAGAGAAATTATTTCCAAAATATTATTTTTTAAACTAATTTCTAAAACTATTATTTGTATTGAAATAAAGCTGCATTATTTGTATTGAGATAAAACATGACAAAAGCACATAAGATTACTAAAATCTGAACTAAAATTAAAATGAAAACGGAAAATATTTAAATAATACTGAAATAGTATGGGCAATACTAATTTTAATATTCTAATATTTTGAGATCATACTTATTAATTTATTTTTCTATTAATTAATTATTCAAATTGTAAGTATGTTGCTATGGTAGAGATGTGCACCCACGATAACCATATATATTACTGATATAACCAATATAATGTAAGCATAAAACAAATTATATAACAAGCATAGGATTGAAAAAAAAAAAACTCAGTTGTTGTTTAATATTCTTGATGTGATAATTGTAGTGATTTATAATTGTAGTGTATTTAAATTTCTTAGAAACAATCCTGATTTTCTTGATTTCAACACTTAGGAAACAAAAAAAAAAAGTTTTGAGCACTCTTAAAAACTCTCTTTAATTACAATCAAAGGTTGAAAGGTGGTATTATCTGTACTTTAATTTTTTATTATTTTATTTATTTATTCTTTTAAAAATCAGCCATATATCTTCGTATTTTTCATGTGTTTATTTTCGTCATTGACATTCTGTTGTGTGAGTTATTTGTGCGTCTGGTTTGAACTCATCTGTGTATCATGGCATTCACAGGCCCTCCAGTGCCAGATCACTGCCCAAACCTGCTCACTTGGACAAGGTCAACTCCAACAGCCTGGACTGTGGGATAGTCAGCGTGGAGGACCAGCTTCCTCCCAAAGTGCCGCCCTTCTCCAAATTACAAGAACTATCAGGAATTAGCAGCACAAGCTGTCTGACGCCCAGTCCAGCTCCCATCCTCAATGTCAATTCCTCTGAGTGTTTCTCCAGCGCCACCATGGGCCGAGGGGGCAGCGCTGGCGGCTCTCCCTCGATCTACCCCCGCCTCTCTGGGCTGCACCGTAGCATGGAGTCCTTGTCTCTGCAGATGAGTGTGTCTCCAGCAGGGGGCGGCATGTCAGAGCCCAGGCCCAGACATGAGGACAGAGGGACGGATGGTGGCTGGTCGACAGGAAGCAGGGTCTCGCTCACACTCACAACAGACAGGTGAGGCCTCCTGTCTGTGCTCATTTGAGCTATGCTAGTCTACTCCTAAACACTGTAAAAATGTGCTTACACATTTCAGATTTGAAGGAAAACGGACTAAACATTTTTAATGACTCATGTTCCACTCAGTGTTGTAATTATATTTTTGTCAAAATCAAAAATCAGATCTCCCCCTCATGCTTGATAATTAACATGGCGTAAAAGCCACAAAAACACAACATAATAAACACAATGTAAAAGGAATACAGACAGGTGAGGCCTCCTGTCTGTGCTCATTTGAGCTATGCTAGTCTACTCCTAAACACTGTAAAAATGTGCTTACACATTTCAGATTTGAAGGAAAACGGACTAAACATTTTTAATGACTCATGTTCCACTCAGTGTTGTAATTATATTTTTGTCAAAATTAAAAATCAGATCTCCCCCTCATGCTTGATAATTAACATGGCGTAAAAACGACAAAAACACAACATAATAAACACAATGTAAAAGGAATACTGCTGTAAAAAAGCACCTTATTTGTTTAAAGTGTTTGCAAACAAAATGTTATTGTACTTTTGTTCATATTGCAGTACTTTTGAATGAAAAAAGTGGACAATACACTACTTTTGAATTCATAATTGCATTGTGTGCATAACAATGTGATTAATCGCGATTAATCGCAGACAATCATGTGATTAATTGCGATTAAAAATGTAATCGTTGCCAGCACTAATTATTAGTGCTGTGTTCAAAATATCGATACGACGATGTATCGTCACAGAGATTTGACGATACGAGTATCGATACAGCTGGCCCTGTATCGATATTGTGGCACGTGTGCAGCAGTGGACCACGCTTAATTTGTTTAAAATTTTACAACGTTTAAAATTGAGTAGAAATGTGCGAGGTTTCTAAAAAAAGAATGAATAGAGCATATACAGGTGCATCTCAATAAATTAGAATGTCGTGGAAAAGTTCATTTATTTCAGTAATTC